CACCGCATGCAAATGGAAACTGCCCCGGTACCGAAGTGACCGAACCCAGCTGGCTCTGTTGAGCATGCCTGCTTGTTCTTTCTGCTCGCATCGGGCTTCTCTCCTCCTTCAGCTCTACCTGCTTCTCCAGCAGTTGCAGAAAAGAACCCACCTGATTTCTCATGAGGCTGGATTGAGGCCATCACTTGGGGGGTGGGCTGGGAGAGCTGAGTGCTCCTTAACGTTGGCTTCCCGCCATTGCTCCCGTTTTTAGCCCTGTGCCGCACCTTCTCTTTCAGGGACGTACGGTGTCTCCAGTGCCTGAGCCTTTCTGGAGCTCTGCCAGGTGGTGTGGCCTCCTTGCGACTTCTCCCTCTCAGGTCATTGGACCTCGGTTTCCTCTGGCCCTGGTTCTCACTGCTCCCGTCACTTTTCAGCCTGTTAATGGCTTTACAGATACTATTTCATTTTATCCTTTCAGCAGCCCCAGGAGTTAGGCTTTTGCCTGACTTCATTGGGTGAGATTGGGAGTCAGTGTTACGTATTTGGCGAATAGTTTAGTCCAGTACCATCTGTCTCCAAACACCAGGATGGTTCAAACCCACCCTACCCCCCACCCCTCCCCCGCCCCCTGAAATGGAGTTTTGCAAATTGTTGCAAGGCCAACATTTTCGGAAAGCCACGCTTTTGTGAAAGCAGTTTGGCACCATGTGTGAAAAGTCTTCATGGTCTCTTTTAGATTGAATGAGTCCTCTTCTAGGAAGATAATGTTAAGAGAGGTGGGGGCCCCAAACCCCACATAGGAAAAGATGAGCTGTTCATTGCAGTGGCATTTGCCTGAGTGGAAAACTGATGGCAGCTTTAATGCCCACCGTGTATTGTATAGGTAAACGAGCAAATGTCCGCCAGATGGGCTGCATCTGCAGCATTAAGATGATTCATAGCCTGATTTCTCAAGAGGTGGTAAGAAGAAAACAGAATTACATATAGTGTAATCAAAAATAAAACCCCAATGTAAGGGGTGGTAGGACTGTAGCATGGGAGGATGCGAAGTGTTAGTGGCTGTGTTTGCATGTGAAACAACAGGAGGTAACTGTTGTCCAAAGTTTGTTTATAGTTTTGGAAAAGCCACACTCATAAGAAAATAGGTGTGAGCCTGCTCGGCTCCCTGCCCACTCCCTTCCACGTGCCCTCCAGGTCAGCCTGGAGGACTGTGTCCCCAGCTCACACAAAAGCACAGACCATGCTGTGCCTAGCTGATCCAAGTTGATCCAAGACTCCGCTTCCCCGGTGAAACTCATTATTTCTGGCTTTACCTGAATCATCAGAACCAGCCTCTCAGCGGGCTACAGCGCGAGTCTCTCCTCACAGGCTCTGAAATGGCAGCAACACCAGGGATTGCTCCCGCCCGGCATGACCATCGATCTGTTCCGAGGCAAAGCAGCTGTCAAAGATGTGGAGGAAGAAAAGTTTCCTACCCAGCTGAGTAGGCACATTAAGGTAAGAGTCCTAGACAGTCGGTGGGTCTGGTGTGTGTGGTGGGGGTGTGGTGTGGTGTGAAGCACTTTTCATGTGGTCGACCAGATGCTGTGCCAGGAGCTTCGCCAAGCTGGCCCCACTCTCTAACGCTGGAAGAACGTACAAGCTTGCTTCTGGTGTCCACTGGGGCGCTGGAACACCTCAGACCTGTTACCACGTGTAATCATGCGCTTGGCATTCGGGTCTTCCCCAAGAAGCCCTCATTTGGAAGACAAGCTAGCTCAGGGGTTTGCCTGAGACTTACTATGGACTTTGTGTATATTTGTCCTGTTAAACAGGACAAATGTGTGTTCGTTGCTACACAGGCAAAGTTCCACGTGTGAAATGCAAATTGATTTAACTGGTCTCTGAGAAAAGTGATTTTATTGTGATCTGGTTGGTTGGTTGTTTTTTTTTTAATCTGGACATTTCTTGGGAAAAGAATAATCAAGTAATTGCTGCAGTGTTTTCACTGCAGCACCTTCTCTGAGTTTATGCTTTAATTGAATTAATGGTTTGAAGATTTTGTTCATATTCCTCAAACCTTTGACTTTGAGTTAGTGTTTTGGGTTTACCTTTTCCAGATAACTTGCATGTGCTTTTTCTATTTTTTAGCAATGCCTTGATTTACCCTGGCTGAAGCCTGGACACAGAAACCCATCTCACTGAGTCAGTTGCAACTCCTAGCGACCGTGTATAGGGGTTCCAAGACTGCACATCTGTGCAGAGCAGGCGGCCTCCTCTTTATCCCGGGGAGCAGCTGGGGGCTTGAAGCTTTTGCTTAGTAGCCCAGTGCTTATTCCACAGCACCCCAGGGCTCTCGAAACGAATACAACCCCGTTACAATTACACTGTTGGGGAAAATGGAGTTCACAGGGGATCCTTTCTCTGTCCTCCGTATACATCTGCTGTTGAAAGCAGTCAGCACTCATTTTCCAGGCATCCGTCTGTCAGCCTTACGTCTTTCAGAATTAGTTAGCCCTGCTTTTTCATTAGATTAAGTGAAGACCATGAAAAGAAATGCTAATGGAAGACTGATTTACAAAATAGTGTAAGGAAACAGTAATTTAGAAAGTTGCTTTTTTGGTCTCGATTCATAGCAGGAGTATACTAGACCATTGTGTATGAAAACCATGCTCACGGTAGCTGATTGTAATGTAAAAACTCAAGAGCTGCACTAACAAGGGTATTTGTTCTAAGTTCTGTGGTGTGGTAAAACAGTGCTTTTCTTCCTGTGGGAGGGAAATTCCACATTCATAAGAATCAGTTTCGGCAGAGACCCCGATACCATGAAACTGCTCCCAGGAGATAGAGCCCGCATTTCCCTGTGCAGCTCTGCAGACACCCCCTGCAGTCCGTACTCACTGGCCAGCATGACTGTTGGCACTGTGCTCGGGCAGGGCTTATCACAAGGGTATAGCGAGAATTGTTTTAGGCCACTAGATATAATGCATATGTCTCATTGCTTCATTTGCAACAGTTTGGTCAGAAATCACATGTGGAGTGCGCTCGGTTTTCCCCAGATGGTCAGTATCTGGTCACTGGGTCTGTGGATGGATTCATTGAAGTGTGGAACTTTACGACTGGCAAAATCCGAAAGGTATGTTAACTTCCTTCTCGGGAGAAGTGTCTCTTAAGTCAGGTGAGTTGAAGAAGAGTCTGCCTGCAGTGAACTTGTATAACTTTCCTTTCTAATTAAAAACAACCATTTAAAGTTATTTTCAGTTCTGTATTAGTAATCAAGGGAAGGATTTTGTTATCAGTTTTACAGTTTGAATTTATATTTGAATGGGTAATGTATACACCTGTTACAACACCAAAATGACAGGAAACAGCATGCAGTAAGGAGGCGTGCTCCAGCCGTTGTCTCAGGCAGCCCGGTGCTTGGGCTCTCCATCCTTATCAGTTTCTTATGGCGCCTCCTTGGTTCCCCTCTGCTTATGCCAGCAAGGACTTAGTGTATATTCTTTTGGGAACAAAAATTGTGTACAGGCAGATGATATAACCTGTTCTCCTCGCTTCTCCCTTTACATCTTGAAGGTCACTGCTGTATTCTGTTCCATTACGTGGTGAACCATAATTTAACCACTTGACCTAAGATTGCTTCCATTCTAAACTAACTGTAGTTGTGTTTGTCTTACTGTGGGTGCAGTGAATCATCTTCTTTTGCGTGTGAAAAGCCCCCAGCATGAAGTTTGTGCCTGTTCTGTGCCGGTGTTTCCTGTGGGCTTAACACCCTGTTTCATACTGCCTGCAGAAGCGCTTCACATTCTGAGGAAGTGAATTGCAAATGTTTTTTGTTCCATTTTGATTTTTTGACTTTTCTTATAATTTTGCCTTCCAGAGGTTTTTTTTTATATATTACCAAATGTATCCACCAAACTCCCATAGTCTCTTCTAGTATTTTTGTGTGTGTGTTTTCGTTTTACATATAATACTTTTAGCTATCTGGAATTTGTTTCTCTCTTGCACTTAATTCAAACTCATAGTGACTGTGAAGGATAGGATAGAACTACCCCTGTCCATTTCTGAGACTATCACTGTTTATAGGAGTAGAAAGCCTCATCTTTCTTCGTCTGAGTGACTAGTGGTTTTGAACTGCTGACCTTGCAGTTTGTGGCCCAACACATGCCACCAGGGCTCTAGAATTGATATAGATTCAACTTAAGTTTCTTCTCCCTGGTTTTTGTTGGCTGTCTTTTTAAAGACATATAAAACAATCTTTATCATTGAGTACCAAAGTCCATTACCTGCATGTTGGAATTAGGAATGCTTTTCACTTTCTATTTTCTGAATACCTTGTGTGTGTGTGTGTGTGTGTGTGTGTGTGTGTGTGTGTGTGTGTTTACCATGAGTAATATAATTTTATAATTAGAAATCAATGCTAAAGATACTTTCATTTGAACATTAATGGCTAAAAGAACACCACAGATAGATAGTCTTAGGAAAAGTAGCTAGAAATTTGGAAAAGCCAGTAGTTTAATTTTTCATCTCATGCCGTAAGTGAATACATTCAGATTTATTTATTTTCTTTTTTATTGAGAGAGTGAGTGAGACAGTGAGTGTGAGAGAGTGAGTGTGAATGAGAGTGAGTGAGTGTGAGTGAGACAGTGAGTGAGAGTGAGACAGCGAGTGAGTGAGTGAGACTGAGTGAGTGAGTGAGAGTGAGTGAGAGACTGAGTGAGTGAGTGAATGAGTGAATGAGACAGTGAGTGAGTGAGTGAGTATGAGTGAGTGAGACAGTGAGTGAGTGAGAATAAGAGAGAGTGAGTTTGAGTGAGTGAGACAGTGAGTGAGTGAGAATAAGAGAGTGAGTGAGAGAGAGAGAGAGTGAGTGAGAATCAAATTCAGATTTCTTAAAGAGCCATTTGTAAAATATAAAACCATTAGGAAATTTTGCTTAGGAAAGCTGGAAATGGACTACACCAAGATGAAATGAGAGAAGAATCAGCAAGAGAGCTAGGGTCCCGTGTTGGCTTGTTTTAAGGAATTATGTAAGGTGGTTTATTCCATTGTGAGTTGGCTTTTGGGACCATGCCTGCTCAGTACTATTTTGTGTACAGTTCAGAGTTGACAGAATCCATGGTTCTGCGTCTAGGGGCCTCACAGAGATCCGGGGCAACTGGGACTTGGGCTTTCGTGTCGTCTTACTGACTGCTCACCATTGTCTCCTTCAGGATCTTAAGTACCAGGCCCAGGACAACTTTATGATGATGGATGATGCCGTCCTCTGCATGTGCTTCAGCAGAGATACAGAAATGCTAGCAACTGGAGCCCAAGATGGGAAAATCAAGGTGTGGATTAGCGACACAAACTGTATGTGGGCATTGTGAGAGCTCTCAACACATACTATCCCACAGAACAGTCAATGGCTACTGATCACTGAGTGTCAACCTCAGGCTAACTGCTTGATTTTTTTTTTTTTTTTTTCCTCATTCACTCTTAATGTTAACTGCTGGGGACAGGGTTCCCAAAGGAGCCCTGGTGGCATAGTGGTTATGTGTTGGGCAGGCTGCTAAGTGCAGGGTCAGCAGTTCAAAGCCACCAGTTCTTCTGCAGGAGAAAGACCAAACTTTCTACTCCTTAGAAAGCTACAGTCTCAGAAACCCACAGGGGCAGCTCTCCCGTCCTTACAGTTGCTATTAGTCAGCATGGACTCAGTGACAGTGCGTTGAGAGAGTTTGTCCAGTGGTCACAGTTGTTTAAGTTAGGAAGTGGTAGATCTGCTGTGCTGCCCTGGGTCGTCTTATGGGCTGTAGTGCATCTTATTTTGCCAGGGCACGGTCTACAGCTGACTAACTGTAGTTTGTATGTAATTGCTGGTCAAACAAACAAGCAAAACCCTGGACTAGATACAATCCAGATTGGTCTTTGCTAAGTGAACTTAGAGTCTGAATTATGTTTTTAATAATTTATAAGGAAAAAAGTTTAAGTTTCAAAGATTCGGATATTGTTGTACTATGTGAAGCAGACATATCATATTCAACTGTTCACATACATTTTTGATGCTGTTTGAGTGTATTAGTGAATGTGGCATCTTGCAGGTCTCTGCCTGCTTTAATGGCTTTAGTGTTTTTTGTTCTTTTGATATAAAGGTGTGGAAGATCCAGAGTGGCCAGTGTTTAAGGAGATTTGAAAGAGCACACAGTAAAGGTGTCACCTGTCTCAGTTTTTCCAAGGATAGCAGTCAGATCCTGAGTGCCTCTTTTGACCAGACGATCAGGTAAGTAAGACCGTCCGAGAACTTCATCCCCAGTGATTCCTTGGGCCTCCACTGGGTCAGTGTGATGGAGAAGAGGATGGGGGTGAGAGGCTTCATTTCCTGGCTCAGGGTATGGCAGAGGTGGGGCTCCCCGTTTGTTAGAATGTCTACCCAGAAGAAAGATTATAACAGTGCTTCATGTTTCTCAGAGTGTGGTCTTCGGTCATTAAACTCGCCAGGAAGCTCTGTTACAGATGCAGGTGCCCAGGATCCAGCTGAGGTCTACTCACCCTGAATCTTAGAAGCCTTCTCAAACAGATAGTTAAGGTGTTATCAGCACATTTCTTCCAGTCTCTTGCTGTGCAAAGATTTCAGCTCTGATTTTGTGTGACTGAGTGACATAATGAAATTAGGCTTGTAAAATTATTGATATAGCCCTCTTTCTTTGCTCACTGTTGGGACTCTACTCCAGTGGTTTCAACTTGTGGGTCATGACCCCTTTGGGGGCCGAATGACCCTTTCACAGGGGCCGCCGGATTCATAACAGTAGCAAAATTACAGTTATGAAGTAGCAACGGAAATAATTTTATGGTTGGGGGGTCACCACAACATGAGGAACTGTATTAAGGTATGGAGCCATGAGGAAGGTTGAGAACCACTGATCTAATGTACATTTCACACTTGGTCCCAGCTGTAATCAGTAGAACACTAATTCATATTTGCTTTTTGTTATAGAATTCACGGCTTAAAATCTGGGAAAACACTGAAGGAGTTTCGTGGCCATTCCTCCTTTGTTAATGAAGCAACATTCACACAAGATGGACATTATATCATCAGTGCATCTTCTGATGGCACTGTAAAGGTAAAGTGTTGGATGCAGGTCTATCTGGGGGATGGGGGTGTCTGTTCTCTGTTTGGTCCTTGAGGGATTATCTGTGGTGGTAATGGTGCTAATTGTGGTGAAGAAAGCTTCCCTATTACTTATGTGTGTCGTAACTGCAGAGTGGATAAGACACAGTAGTTCTTGCTCCCTGTTGGACTAAGGACCTCAAATATAAAACCTGAAAAATTCAAACTTTATCTGCAGACCAAGAGGGAAAGTCAAGTCCTAAAGTGAGGAGGTGATTCCCAATTGACAGGAAGCACCTGTGCTGATTATAATCTATCATCCCTCAGATGGGTGGGGCCCTCCTGTATCCAACTAGACGCTTGTCTTGTGGCACAGCCTCATATTCCCAACAGCGTCTGTGGAGGCAGAGCAGGAGGAGGACGAGGAGGAGGACTATAGAGTAGAACTTGTACGTCCTCTTTAGAGTCTTACTAACTGCCCTAAGCGCTCAGCTGAGAGTATAGACCCTCCAGTCCGGACCATAAATGAGGACTTAAATTAGAGGGTCTCATTTCCCACAAAAGATGAAGGTGCTAGAGCGCTTTGAGATACTGTTTTTCTGTCTTGGACCTGCTGCTTTAAACGACCCTCATCTAACTGAGTGCTTTGTGATGAGCTCAGCATTTTAATGCAGCACTTCACAAGTGAGATGCTCTTCTGAAAGTGGTGCTTCTGGCAGTCAGACCAGAAACCCAACGGGCAGAGGCTTGCTCTCCTGCGTTGAGCAACACCCGGAACAATCAGCCTTTAGTCGTGGGATTGGTGCTCTTCCCTCGGAGATGGGCCCGAATGCCAGTGGGAATGCGCGTGCCGAGGCCCCTGTTTTGTGGTCTGTCCCTTGGTGCTGCAGGGAGCCGAGTAAAGCATCTCACTGATCTTTTGGACAGAAAACCCCAGAAGCCTTGCTACTCTTGGTCCCTAAAGTAGTCAGCTCTTCCCTGTGCACCTGGGTTTCAAATGGCAGGTGGCGCGGTGTTTACTGAGCAAGGGAACTCTGGGTCCAATGGGACGACTGTTTTCTCCTGTCTCTTAGGTGTTTGCTCAACATCTGTTGTATGCTTAGCTCTAGTGTAGGCAGTGGGTACTGCCACCTAGTCCATGCCTTTGAGGCTCTGTACTCCCCGAGTGAATGGCATCCAGGCAGTGCCATACAGCACGTGGCCATCTTTGCTCTAACCCCAGTTCAGAGTTCAGTACCGCTGATGCTGATTATAACCACTTCAGTTCATTTCAGCCCAGAAGGGCCAGGGAAAGGCATTGGGGGGAGAACCGTCCCGGAAGAGAGGTTGGAGTGGGAGAGGTAATGCATGTGGCTTCCCCTTCATGGACCCCGTGTATGTGCTGGGGTCGAGACTTCGGGTCAGTGGTTTTCAGTGTAGGCTGTATAGTAGAATCGTTTGTGAAGTGCACCCCTCCCCCCCTCCTTTAATGATAATTTGTGTTTTAGGTGAGCGTTTGCAAAGCAAATTAAGTTCTTCTTTAACAATCTTTCTCCAAATTGAGCCATGGAGTTTTTATCATGTGCCAGCAATCCTCATTGTTTCCACTCTGGGTTCTCTTGACATTGATCTAGCTGCCTTGCCCCCGTATGACTTCTCGTCTTTGTTTTTGGATAAATGTTGACTGTTTGGTCTCAGGTGGTTTATTTTTTAAGGGAGCACCATATTCATGCATGGTCTTGTTTGTTTTATTAGACAATTGATTGACATAGAGGATTTCCAAGTTCAGAGGTTATCTTAGGACAATAGTCTTGGGGTTCCTCCCTTCTCTGCCAGTCCAGTTAAGTGTGGCCTTTTTTAGGATTTTGAGTTTTGTCCTAATTTTTCTATCATTTTTTCTGGGACCTTCTGTTAAGTTACTGGTCTGAACGGTGGGTAGTGGTGGCTACCCACCACCATCTAGTTAATCTGGTCTCAGGTTGAAGAAGGCTGCGGTGTGTGGGGGCTGTTAGCCATGTTGACTAGTTTCTTCTTGGTAGAGACCAATAATTTTACCTTAGTGAGCATGTGTCTCAGGTGCTACTTAATGATACTGGACGTAGGAAGGGGAAAAAATGAGCTGATACCAAGGGCTCAAGTAGAGAGAAAATGTTTTGGAAATGATGATGGCAACATGTACAAATGTGGTTGACACAGTCGATGGATGT